ATGGGTGGGGGTGAGGGACGTGAGGGGGGATTGGTGGGGATGAGGTAGGGGGTCAGAGGGGGATGGGTGGGGGTGAGGGATGTGAGGGGGGATTGGTGGGGATGAGGTAGGGGGTCAGAGGGGGATGGGTGGGGTGAGGGACGTGAGGTGGGGATGGGTGAGGCAGTTGAGGGGATGTGGATGAAGGAGGGATGTGAAGGGGAGATACGTGGGGGGTGCAGGAGGGAATGGGTCTGTGGGGGGAGCGCTCATTTTCTTTGCTATCGAGTTTTGGAGCCTTTCCCAGCTTTTCTCCCCAGCCGGACGGCAGTTTGGTTGACAATCCCACTGAGTTTCGTAGGGAATCCTGTGACTCTGGCAGTCGGGGTTTTATGAGACGTGCCGCGTGGCCGGCCCAGAAGGCGTCTCTCACCGAGCAGGCTGTTTGCTGTGTCATGGGGCACATTTTTCCATTCTCTGATTGGCCGTCTGACAGGAAACTGAGCGGCAAGGGCCAGTTGACAGACAGCCCGTACCAAAGACACGGTGTCGCTCACGAAGAGACAGGCCTGGGGGAAAGAGGGGTATTAACTGTGCTTAAATCCATGTGTGATCAGCCCAGGGGCCCATCTACCCTGGTATCTGGGCTCTGATGGTGACTGGTACTGTCTGCTTCAGAGAAAGGGGCAATGAAGCCCCCTAGTGGCTAGTCCTGGAATAACCTGGCCTTGGGGGCTGTTCCCTTCTGACTCAGCCCGTGACTTGGGCCTGTTATAAATTGTGTCTGATGTACCCGGCCATCTCGGCCTCCAGACAAAGTCTGCTCCTCCCCTCCCGCCACCCCAGCTTGTGCCCTCAGTAGTATCCGGTGGCAATGAGGTTCCGCAGGCTCATTCTGCCCTGTGCATTCCCACTGAACAGCTATGGAAGTGCTGCAGACCCCATGTCCTCGCAGGCAGATGGGCTCAGCCCAAGCCCGGTCTCGTTCTCTCTCCCATCCATTCGTTTGGATCCCTCCAGCATCTCCACTTGGCCAGGATCCAGGAGAGTTTGCCCTGGTGACCAGCCCTGAATAGAGCCGCACAGACACTTTTCAACAACACTGGAAGCGAAATGTTTTACTGACTCGACTGCAGACTTTTGCCAAACACAGCCACGTGTCCCTTGGGACAGTGCCGGGATTCGAGGGTCGACAGTTCCCCAGAATCTGCCACTGCCCCGGCGTCCTGGCTGGAGTTGGGTCTTTTGGGCTGCTAACTCCACGCTCCATGGCAGGGATGCTGGAAGCATGTGGGGAGTCTGAAAGCTCTGGGGTCCCCAGCCAGGGGCAGGCCCCAGAGCTGCAGATCCTGGGAGCCAGTCCCAGGGCCTCCAGGCTCCCAGCTCTAGGGCAGGAACCCAGCCACGGAGCAGATGCCTGTGATGTGACTGACATTCTAAGAGAGACAAGGTGAGGGAGGGAAGATCTTTTATTGGACCCACGTCTGTCGGGGAGAGAGACCAGTTTTCACCTATTTCCTTCCAGGACCACCCCAGTTTGGCATTTACAAAACAACATTTGATGGGCTCGTCGGCTGGCCAAGAAAGTTGGTAAATTTGCTTCTGTTCTGGCTCAGATCACATCTGGGAGACCAAAAAGTCTCGGGAGCCATCCCCCGAGTTCTGGCCAGCTCTGCTCCTGAAGAATGACTTACACACGCACCCGGCCGCAGCTGCTTTCTTGGCTACTGGATGGGAAGAGGTGGCCTGTGGCAACAGTGGCAATGCCAGCCAGGCCCGGTAACAGCACCAGGGGCACCCAGAGGGCCTCTCTGTCCAGAGTTCTGTAGCACCTGGGAGGCTGGCATATGGAGTTGGAGAGATGCCCCAGAGGGTGCTGGGAAATTCCAGTCCCACCCCTCCATGGTGCCTGGTTTTCAGGTCTGACTCGGCGGGAGCAGGAGGTGCTCTGGGGGAGCTGGGCCCAAATCTCTCAAAACACATTAGCACTAACCCCCCACTGTATAGGGAGGCAGTGTCAGTAATGCCTAGAGCACCAGACTTGGATCCAGAGATTGATTCCCAGCTTGGGGGGAGTCATTTCCCTTCTCCGAGCTTCAGATTCCCTGTCTGCAGAATGGGACTAATGCTCCTAGGATGAAGAGGGAATTTTTGGTCATATTTTTATGGATCCCATGTGTGCCTCAGTTTCCTGCTAGGCTTTGCACTGCTCCCCAGTGCGGGGAGAAGGGGTAAGTCTGCTTTGGGCCGGCGCAGGAGACGTGAGGTGTGGGGGTTGCCTGGCGGTCTGGGGCGCAATGGATGGGTCGTTAAGGAGCTGGTTGGAACCTGCTGAAAGCGACCCCGTATCAGCATCCGAGAACATTCACACCCAGCCACCGGAAGGGTCCCCCACCCCACCTCTGCGCAGGGACAGCGAACGGAGGTAGAGCTCACAGTGCCAAGCAGGCAGGCTGGAGCCCAGAGGCTGTGGGGCCTGCCCTGGAGGAAGAGCAGGACCCTGCCACATTGGCTGGATCCTCCAAGGGCCTGTCAACCAGCACAACCCCCCTGGCAGATCCTCACGGGTAAAGAGATGAGCAGCCAAGAGCCGACCTGGGTTCATGCTGGGGGAGCTGCCTCAGGCGGCCGGCAGGTGCAGCCAGGGAGGGGGGCTGCCAGGTCCCACTGCACGCTGGGAAAACAGGTGAGGAGGGTTCTGTTCATTGGGCTCCAGGGAACATTTTGGGGCAGGGGCAGTCCATGGGGAGGGGGAAGGGACCCCCATGAAGCAAAGTGGAGCCAGGCAGCTGGCATGTGTCAGGGGCGCGTTTGATGGAAGAGCTGGGGGCGGGCGGCCGGCGTGGCAGCACCTGAGTCGGGCAGAGGCGGTGGCTAAAGACGGCAGTAACACAGCCAGCCGTCTCCGAGTGCCCAGTCCCGGGTAGGGAGCAAAGCACAGCTGGCCTGGAGCAGGAAGGGGCTGAGGCCACGCAAGAGAGTCACTTAGAAAGCTGTTTGGGGCAGGGATGTTTCTCTGCTGTTCAGGGCCTAGCCCACAGTGGGGGCCTAGGCGGTGACTCTCTGCTGCTGTCTACACACAGGGGTCACACGCTTCATTGCTATGGCCGAGCTGTACACCCAACTGGACCCCTTACCCCCCACTATGACCATCCCTCCAGCTGGGCCCCTCCGCCCCCCAGCTGGGTCCCTCACTTCAGAGCGAGCAGGGGGTACAGCTCAGCCTACATAACCAAGGAAGCATGTGCCCGGCCCAGGAGTTGGATTAAGGAGTCAAATAAAATTGCATCAATGCTAAACCTGGCCAAGAATCAAAGCGATAAATGTCTGGGTCCTCATGGGAGAAGCTCGCAGCCAAACTGCGGTGGACGAGACGCCTGGCGATGGACGGAGCTCGGTGCTACAGGCATTACGGAAACGTGGTGGCAAGAGAAAACCCAGTGGGGGCTGGGATACCTGGTGACAAGCGATCCAGGAGAGACGGAGTTGGACGAGGAGCTGGGGGAGACATAGAATCGAGAGCGAGAAATTCTGAGCACAGAGGATCATGCACTGATCAAACAGCCCAGCAGGACCCAGCGGAGAGGACAATTCCTTGGCACTTTCAGCGGTTGCTCTTTGGAACAGCTTGTTGGCTGAGTTTGCGAAGACCTTACACTCACCGCCGTGGCATTGCTCTGTCCGCTTGTCTGTAACGTGAGAACTCTTCAACTCCCCAGCCCAGCAATTCCAAAATCCCAGGGAATGTTCTAGGGCAGAACCGTCCCGATCAAGAAGAAACCAGGTGCAAAGGGCTCTGTGTGTCCCCCATCTCCCTCTTTTGGTTCTTCCAATTTCCCCCCAAATCAACAACTTTCTGCCCACTGATGCCTTGAACAGGTGGCTCCAGCCTCCTTTTGAAAACCTCCAGGAGCTTCCACGACCTCCCTGGGCGTCTGTTCCATTGCCCTACTATTCTTACAGTTAGGAAGTTTTTCCTGCGACTTAATCTAAATCTACTGGGCTGTAGTTCGAACCCACCGCCCCTTGTCCTGCCCTCTGTGGCAAGAGAGAACAATTTTTCTCCATCTTTCTTATGGCAGCCTTTCAAGTATTTGAAAACCACTATCCTATCCCCCTTTAATCTCCTCTTTTCCGGACTAAACATACCCAGTTCCTTCAGCCTTTGCTCGTATGGCTTGCATTCCATCCCTCTGATCATCTTTGTCACTCACCTCTGGAGCCTTTCCAGGTTCTCCACACCCTTTCTATGCATTGGTGACCAAAACTGGACACAGTACTCCAGCTCAGGGCTAACCAGTGGCGAGCGGAGCAGTACTATCACCTTGCAGGCTGTGCCTCTGTTAATATAACCCAAAATTGCATCTGCTTTTTTTGAAACAGCATCGCGTTGCTGACTCACGTTGAGGTTGGGATCCACCACAACTCCCAGATCCTTCTGAGCCGTGCTGCTGCCAAGCCACTTACCCCCCATTCTGTATTTGTGCATTTGGGGGTTTTCCCCCCCAAGCATAGCACCTCACAATTGTCTTTGTTGAATTTCATTTTGTTGCTCTATACCCCAGTTCTCCAATTTATCAAGATCCTTTTGAGTCTAGCTCTATCCTCCAAAGTGTTGGCAACCCCCTCTAGCTTTGTGACGTCTGCAGATTTGATCACTATCTTCTTTAGTCCTACATCCAGGTGTTTAATAGAGATGTTAAATAACACCAGACCCAGAACAGATCCCTGCGGAACCCCACTGGAGACCGCCCTGCCAATCCGACATCATTCCATTAATAGTTACTCTTTGTTTGTGATTGTTTAACCAATTATGTATCCACTCAATGATAGCTCTGCCGAGCCCGCATTTCTCCAGCTTACTTATGAGACTGTCATGTGGGACTGTGTCAGAAGTCTGGCTAAAGTCCAGGTTATGATGTCCACTGCATTCCCCCCAGGGCCGGCTCTAACTTTTTTGCCGCCCCAGGCAAAAAAGAAGAGAGCCGCCCTGACGTACCCCCACCGCAAGCGCCGCCAAAATCCCTGCCCCCCACCACCATGCCACCCGAAGCACCGCCCCCCAGCACCGCCCGAGGCCCCCGCCCCCTCCGAGCGATGCACCTCACCAGCCCCCACCCCCCCAAGACCCCGCCCCCCCCCAGCACCACACCGCCCAAAGCGCCTGTCACGGAG